CCGACCCCGACCCCGCCGGCGCCCCGCGAGCCGCCCGAGCCCACACCCGCCGCGGCCGCTCGCTCACCTCCAGGCGCAGGGAGGCCCCGCAGGCGCGCAGGAACTCGCGGATGTTGCTCAGGCACTCGTTCTCGCTCCGCGGCTCCGGGTAGACCTGCAACACAGAGCGCGGGCGCTGAGCGCGGCCGCGGCCACGCCGCACCGGCCCGGAGCAAGCCCGCCGCCCTCCCGCCGCCTCTCCTCACCCTTTTCCTTCCTCCGGGCTGCACCAATCTTGGCCCCTTCCCGCACCCGGAAGTCGGTCCGGCGCCGGAAGTGACGTCTCGGCCCGCGGCCCCGCCCCCGGCCGCGCACCACCGCGGCCTCTTCCGGTTGGTGGCGGCCGGCTCCCGAGGACACGCCCCCACCCGGCCCGCCCCGCCTCCGTCTCCCGCGCCCCGCCTCGTCTGCGCTGGAGCTTGCGCGTCGGGTCCCGAGGAAGCCGGGAGAGCTCGGGCCCCGCGGCTCGGGGCGCTAAAAGGAGGCGGGCAGGACTTCTGTTCTTTGTCTCCTCGGTGCACCGAGGGGGCAGTTCTTATTGTAACGCTGCAGTGTACGGGAACTAGCAGCACGCTGTGCACGTCGGCATTAAGCAGCATTTTTTCCGGCTGCAGGCCGGGGGCTTGATGAATGGGTAACCCGAACCGTCGCAGCCGAAAGCCTGCGGAAGGCGCCGGGGCCGCGTACAGGTCGAGCCCGACCGCGTGATCGCTGAGCCGACCCCCGCCCAGACGCCGAGAAATCGGGGGAGAGCCAGCGCCTGCAGCCGCCAGGAGGAGCCGTGAGACGTCCACCAGCGCCTCTTGCTCTGAAATCGAAGGGTTATTTACCTGGCGAAGAAGGAAACCGCTCTCCCGCACTGCGGGCGAAGCGCTGGGCGGCGTCCGCAGGCCTAGCCCCAGCCCCCGGCGACGCGGGCCTGCCGCTAGGGGGCGCGCCGCGGCCGGCTCGTGGGCGTGACGGAGCCGAGCCGGAGCCGAGCCCGGGCTCTCGAGAGGAAACGAAGCTGTCTGCGCCCTACAGATGAGAGATTATTCGGAGGAAGCGCTGATGTGTCCCCTCCAAACTGAGCAGCTCTGGTTTTTTCCTCAATGAAACTTCAAAGTAGAAGATCAAAACCAAAGTTGCCTCCTAGTCCATTTTGTTCCTTCCTAGAATTTTAAAAATTATGAGTCAAGTACTCGTATCTAATTTTCTTGTCATAATTGTAAATGGTTACAAAAGGAGTCATTTCTGACAGTTCTGTTAATAGCATCTTTAACTATTATTTTTTAAAAGTTACCAACATAATCCAAATAAAATAAAGATGTAGTACCTATTCTCTAGCCAAACACGTTATGAACTCTGAAAATCAGACGTAAATTCCTTTTTCCTTTCATTCAGGCCCATTTCACTTGCCTCAAAGAATCAGTATCCTAACGAAATCTATTTCTATGCTTAAAAGTCTTGCGTTCACGTTATCTTTTGTTACAAGAGAACCATGCAAGAAAGTCATCACTTACTGATTTGTCTGTTTGTCAGCTCACCTTCTTGCTGAAATTTACACGTAACCCCAAATGAATGCTTGTGGCCCATTCTCAATCATGTAACCCCAAATGAATGCTTGTGGCCCATTCTCAATCATGTAACCCCAAATGAATGCTTGTGGCCCATTCTCAATCATGCATTTGCGGGTGGGGCAGCAAAGCCCTGGGATCGCTCTCCTTCCCAGCTGGGTGTGAGCAGGGCCAGCCTCTGCCTTTTTGTCTCGTTTCTCAAGCTAAACAGATGTCCTCTCAGTCTTGAGTGTTGTGGGTTGTTTGCTTTTCTTACTTTTCTACTTTTAATTGATAAGTTTGCTGTTTAAAATGGCCTCCAAACATAGTGCTGAAGTGTTGTCTCGTGTTCCTCGGTGCACGAAGGTTGTGGTGCGTCCTGCGGGAAGACGCGGGCGTTAGACAAGCTTCGTGCAGGCAGGAGTCACAGCGCTGCCGGCCGCGAGTTCAGGGTTGGAAGAGGGTGTCCGTGGGTCCGGGTGAAGCAACCTGTGTCGTGCGTGGCGAAGCCATGGAAAAGCTGCTAGAGGCGTGGCTCTGTGACATGGCCAGTGCCAGAGGCACAGTGGACAGCACTGTACTGAGGCTGAAAGCCAAAAAAATGCACAGTCACGTAACCCAGGGTCAAGGGCGTGCTGAACCCCAGCCAGTGCAAGCTGGCTTGCACATCTACACAACGCAGCACGAGAGGATGGTTCTGCAGACGAGATAGCTGCAGAAAACTTCAAAAACTATCTGTTAAATGTGAATATGAAAAGGGCTATGTTGAAGAACCATTTTTCAATGCTCATGAAACAAATTTGTTTCACAAGAATGTCAGCAGACACATTTACATAACGGAGGTGGCTTCCAAAGCCCCTGGCTTTAAAGCATTGGTACACCATGTAACCTCACTCCTGTGCACCAATGCCATGGGGGCTTTAGTGCAAGCCCCTCATGTTCTGCAGAACCCAGACCCCCTTCACACTTAGGAAAAACCTCAACTGTAGGCCAGTTCACCGGAGGTGGAACAAACAGGCATAGTTGGCGTCTGAGGTATTCTGGGACTGGTCCCACCGCTGCTGCAGTCCACAAATTGAAGGCTATCTCCAGGGCTTTGTTAATTCTGGATAATATTCCAGCTCACTGCCATGAAGAACTTGAAGATGCCCATCTCAACACAGAAGTCCTTTCAGTGCCCCCAAATACTACATCGCTCATCCACCCCCTCAGTCAAGGTGTAATAAAGGCTTTCGAAGCACATTACACGAGGTCATTCCTCAGCAAAGCTAACCAAAAAACATACAGTGGAGCTTGAGGAAGTCTTGATGCCAGCGAGGAAGCCACTAAGATCCAGTGCTGGAAGTCAGCCGTGACCCAAAGCATTACGGAGGGTGTTGGCATAGACTGGGACACCATCAAACAGGCTCTGATCGATAACTGTGGGGAAAACCTTTGGCCAGACTGAAAAATTTCAAAGGGTTATAGAAAGTAAAAAGAACAGAGTCAAGAAGGTAATGTGTACTGCACAGCAAATAAGCAGAGAAGGCTTCAACAGCATGACAGACAATGTGGAGGAGATGTTGGCAGAGAAGGCAGCAGAGCCAACCGAGGAGGTGATACACGGCATCGGAGTCAGTGACAAAAGCCAGGGCAGTGATAACAGTCGGCTCAAGACTCCCAAGAATTGTCCCTCTCACAGCAGCCAGAATATCCAAGTGGAGTACTCCCTAGGGGCAGTGACTGGAAGGATTGTGACCCCGTGCTTGAGCAAAGCCTCGTGTTCAGGCGCCTCACCACCTCATCTGTGCCTCGTGCTGGCTGAGGCATCCAGGATCTGAGGCGAAAGGCCTGGCAGACAAGGTTCAAGCAGTCTTTCTAGCCAGCTTGAGAAGGAAGCTGCAGAAGCCCTCCCGGGGAACCACCGCGTGACAGCGTGTCACCCTCGTGAACATCTTCCTCTGCAGGACGCGCCCCACCAGTCTCTCCTTCGGTCTTCGTCGGCTTGAAGCCAGGCTGTGGGAGGCGAGACCACTGACATCCTGCGGCCTGGCCATGGGAGGAGGGGAGCGAGCATCTGGTGAAGCTTTGCTCTGCGTCATGCTTTTCTTGGGACTTCATTTGCACTCCTGCGATATGCAGTGTGTGCTTGCCGTGCTGCACCGCTTGTGAACATGCTCTGTGTATGTACAGCTGGGTGACAGAGGTAAGCTGATGCCGTCACGGTACAGTACAGCACGCAACACTGGTCGGAGTGAGGAAGACATACCGTGGGTAACTATTCTGGGGTCTGTTTGTTTATGTATTTTGTATACGTTCTCACTACACAGCTCAGATTCGTAGTGATCCTCCTGTTTTCGGCCTCCCCAGGCACTGGGTTACAGGCGTGTGCCGCCATGCCTGGACTTGGTTGCAGGCTCAGCTCGTCCTGGGGCGGGGCCAGCACAGCAGAGGACAGAGCCCTGGTCCCTGCGCTTGTGCTTGCCTAAGCAGGCGCTTAGTCTGCTGAGCCATCTCACCAGTCCGCGTTTAACTGTTTGTCTCAAAAACAGATTAAATTAGCTGTCTCCAAACAAAACCCTCGATAAAACGAAATCATGTATTCTGTCCAGACTCTTACACAAGCCTGCTTTTACTTCCCCAAGGAGTAATGCTGTTGCCACGGACAGTTTAGTACCTGAGGTAACTTCATTGACCACAATCACCACAGACAATGAGAAGCTACATGTAAGATTATTAGGCCATGAGAAACTACTTGCTACGATCTGATTTAACACAGCTGTCCTGGGTACACAAGTCACAGAAACTATAAGTAAACTGCAGGTTCTGATAAGTACAAAAGGCAAAACCTTATTTGGAAATGTACATCTTGATGAGAAAAGTGGGACTTTGAAAAATTAGTTCATTTACTGCGGGCACTTATCTCTTTCGCTAGAGTGAGCTGCGATCCAGCCTCAGTTGGTGTCTGGGACTTCTCTACGCTCCTGCTGAGAAACCCTGTTCAGGAAGCTAAGCGCACGGACATGGGAGGAGCTTGCGGGTGCTGGGTGTGGCTCACCAGGGAGCAGATACTGAGCACTGCAAGGTGCTGGTGTAAGGCTGGGCCTAGGAACAAGGAGTCTGCAGCCTTCAGAGCATGTGACAGTCTGGGCTCCGCCCATCACAGGTTGCAGCCTGCACCACCCGCTCACAGCTTGATTGGCATCTCCTTTGATTTCTGTGCAAGCCAGGCAGTTCAAACGCTGAGGTATGAACTCCCCGTCATTTGGACGGCTGACTTCCCAACGCCCCGGGTGGTTTCAGCCGGCCACTGTCACGCACATGGCCCCAGGTTCCCTGTCCCGCAGCGGTGCTCCACGCAGGACAGCACACAGGTGCACAGTGTCTTTGGTGTGAGCAAGGGGGGCCACAGAAAAGAGGGCATGCAGCCCGCCTCCTCGGTCCTCAGCTAATTCGGGAGCCTGGACAGATTCCCCCAAAACATGTGCTGATCTCAGAGGCTTCCTGTCCACACCTAAGGTGCCAAGTGTGAGCCCCTTCAGAGAACATACCTGCTTGGAAAACTGCAGTAGAGAGAAAACCTCACAATATGTAAATGAGCGGCACCTGGCTGTATAATAAACCTGTCAGGTCACCCAGGATAAGTCCCTTGGCCCTCATCCAGTGGAAGCCTCAGCCTTTCTCACTGAGTTGTTGGAGGAGCAAAGGGATCACGTATTAGCTCAGCAACACGTACTGGGCTGGACTCCTTGGCTGACTGTGTA